TTGTTCTTTTTCAAACACATTCCTGCATTTGTCAGTTCTGGAAATAGTCTTCATACTGGATCCATGACCATCCAGTGAACTGGGTGAACGTCAATGGTGTCCTGTTTGGATCATCCAAGCATCAGATATGACATGCAGCAATGGTGAAGCATGGTTCAACATTCCAAAATACAAAAAAAAAACACTTTAGAAATATCTGATGTTATAGCAGCAAAGATACCATGATAAAAACAACAAAGATAAAGAACTTTGCTCAAAATAATCAAAATAATATGAAAATAAAACAATGTTATGCTAACTTCTTTCAAACATTTTGTTGATTTTTAATTAGTAGAAAATTCTTGTTCTTTTTTTTTTTTTGGTTGGAGAAAATAAACATTAAGACGAGCCCAAACTGCAACTTACAGGTTGAGGATACTAAAATCAAGCAGGTACAGAAATTTAAACATCTAGGAAGTCTTCTATCAGCTAAGTAGAGTATTAAGAGACAGGAAAATTTCATTACAAACAAACAAAAGAGTACTGAAATGCTATGTAATATCTGTCTTCCTGTAAAGCAGTGAATACTGGACAATCTCCTCAAAGATGAAGAAGAGATGCGAAGCAATAGAAATGTAGTTCTACAGAAGGATGCTAAGGATACCATGGACTGAACATGTGAGCAATGATGAGGTTTTGGAGAGAGTGGAAAGAAAGAGGAAATTTATACTTAACAGGAAGAGGCAGTTGAAATTTCTGGGACATATAACGAGGAAGGAGGGCTTAGAAAATCTAATACCCACAGGACAGAAAGAGGGACAGTGAAAGCAATGTATAACATAATGGGTTTGAGCAAATGGATGGCAGAACAGGTTTTGGGAGAAATAACAAAAAGACAAAACTTATTAAGAGCTACAATGGACAAAATGATCACCTATGTCCTGAAGGGACATGGCACATAAAAGAAGAAAAAAATTCTGCAGAGGATAATATAAAAAGTTGCATGCACTTGCTAATACTTCAAGTTCTGCAATTGTGGAACACTTAACAAATAATCTAACTTGTGTCTCATCTTTTTCCAGAGGTTTTATCACTGTTGTCAGCAGAGCATATTTGGATTACCATTTGAAAGTGCTTGAGACCCTGTATATTAAGTCTAGGCAGCCTACTCCCTGTAAGCAAAAGAAACAGTTGCTGTGTCTTAATGTAATCTGTCTGCAATTCATAGTTTTCATTCTTTAGTAGTATTTTCCCTTCCACATTCGCATATGCTTGAGACCTGTATAGACCCGTCTAAGCAGCCTTCATTTCATGATAAGAATGGTTGCTGGGTCTAAATATAATGTCTGCAATTCATATTGCTGATTTTCTGGTAGTATATATTTTTCTTCTTTTTTAAATCAATGAGTGCATATTTATATTTTTTTGTCACTGATTGAGCTCTGAAGAGTGAGGAGCGATAACTGGTTAGCTTTTTTTATTGTCATTGCTGTTGTTTCTTTCTTGTTATATTTTCAGTTCACCATTTTATAGAGAGAAATATCTTTTTATCATTCTTGCTCTTCCTCCCCACTTATTTTAATATATTTTTATATTAGGTGAATATATATTTTATATATATATATATATATATATATATATCATATATATATATTAATGTTATATATTATATAAATATATTAATATTATATATATATATATATATTAATATATATATATATATATTAATCTATATATATTAATATATTATATATATATAACATTATATATATTAATATATATTTTTATATATATATATATATATATTATTTAGGTATATATATTTTTTTATTATATGAATATATATATATATATATATATATATATATATATATATAAATATCTGTTGTTGAATCCATAATAAAAAATTATCAGTAAATTCACTATTCATAAATCTAAACTTGTAGGATATAGAACACTTTATTGAAAAAAATATATAAAATTAAATGTTAGATCTATATGATATAAAATATATATGAATTAAAAAATATTAAAAATATGAATAAATGATGTTATTTATAAAGCTAGTTTCTCAATTCTGTAATGTAATGATATTAAGAGTTTGATCATTTGTATATGCATGAAAGCCACACTATATAAAGTATATTACAGACATAATAAATATATTAAATATTAAAGACATAATAACTGAAATATACAATATATTAAAGACATAATAATAAATGAAATGATAATAATAATAATAAATGAAATATACAATATATTAAAGACATAATAAATGAAATATACAATGGTCATATACCAGAAGATCTAATTAAGATCCATTTTCATAGCACTACCTAGAAAGCCAGGTAGAAACAAATGTGAACTCCATCAAACAGTCAGCCTAATGAGACAAATAACCCAACTTATCATCTGAATTCTGATGAATAGAGTGCACAGCAGAATTAGACTGGAAATAAGACAAGAACAATGTGAATTTGTTAAAGACACTGGAACAAGAAATGCAATATTTATGGTCAGAATGATATCAGAAAGAGCAATACAAATGTAGAAAGATGCATACCTGTGTTTTATAGATTATGCAAAAAACATTTGATAAAGTATATAACTATTGGAACTGTTAGATAATCTTGGCATATTTGGGAAGAATATTAGAATAAACCAGAAACTATACTGGCAGCAAAACACATTCAAAAAGACTAGAAGAAAAGGAAATGTGGTTCTACAGAAAGATGCTGAGAATACCATGAACAGAACATGTGAGAATCAACAAAGTTTTTGAGAAAATGAAAATAAAAAAGACCCTTATGCTAAACATCAGAAAGAGATAGTTGAAATTTCTAGGGTACACAATAAGACAAGAAGGCTTGGAAAATTTGATACTCACTGGACAGATTGAAGGCAAGAGAGACAGAGAAAGACAATGTGTAATCTATCTAGTGAGCTTGACGAAATGGATGGCAGAACATGGTTTAGGAGAGATAGCCAAAACACAAAATTTATTAAGAGCCACAAAGGACAGGAAATTGTGTAGAGCCATGATCACCAACATCTTGAAGAATCACAGCACATAGAAGAAGTCTGATTCACTCTTCTGCCTTGTCTTTTGAATAAATGTTTACCCCTTGTTTCCTGTTTAGGATTGGATTCCCAGCTCCTTCTTCGAAAGTCTTCTCATTCCCTTTCACTCCCTGTATCCCCTTGTGTCTTGGTGGCATTGTTGCTTTGCTAAGGGTCAAATGATTACAATAAGAGAAGAATTCATCAGTAGTAACTGGGAGCAACTTGCAAATATTACTATTACACATCATGATAAATTTTGGGAATAAAACAAGTTCTAGGTGTTAAACTTGCTCTGTTAAACTCCTACTGGGTTCAACTTTTTCACTCTAGTTACCTTCACTACAAGATGTATTCACTCTTCTCTCTGGATGGCATGCATCATATATATATATATATATATATATATATGAGACTAGCTCAATGATTGGCCAATAACAATCTTATAACTATTCCTATGCAAATAACTTAGCAGTGCCACCTGTGGAGATCAACCTTTTCCAAGCTGCCATTTTACCAAGGGGAATTAACTCAACACTAGGTTCATTTTTTCATCCCATTTGTCGAGGCACTGTTTTCTGCAGAATCAAAAAATAACCTAAATTTTGGCACTAAATTTTTGTTGTGAGCACAAAAATCCAGACAATACCTTCTACATACTTCTCTAGGTGCACAGTCAAATAGAAAAAAAAAGGAATCTTGCTCATTCTTTTTCTTTTTTTTTTACAGAGAACAATGCAGAAAGAACAAGAGATGCAACACAAAGATTGAGTCTTTCTGACTGAACTGTCCCTCATATTTTATACCAAACCAGATAGCTTCTGTTCCCCAACTCTAAATTCTGTCCACAGAACAATTTCTTTAGAAAATAAATCAATGGGTAATTTAAATTATTTTTTTAAAAGATTACTTCAGTGCAATTCAGAGATGTTAATGATTTCGAAAGTTGGTGTTAATTTTCTCATTAGACAATTAAGAAGAAAATTAACCAAAATTAAAAAGAAGAAAATATTTATTATTATTAAATATTTTTTGTAGGGTGTGGTCATGCTGGGACAATGTAACTGTGTCATGCTTATATGCGTTTATTGCCATATCCCAAGAGAGTCAATCCTTAAATTCTGTCACTTGACAGAAAGACGTTTTTTCATATTTGATAGCATTTTAGAAGTTTTAATGTTGTTTAAAATATTTCAAGGTTTTAATATTGTAGAACTCACATATGAAATAACCAAATCAGAATCCAAAAGAAAAAATTCTGAAAAATTTAAATTTTAGAATTTTTTTTATTATAAAATATGTATGAGAGAGTAAAAAATACTCTTGATAAAAGAGCTTCTTTGGGGATCATTTAAAACTGAGTATCTAATGAGTAACAGGACCAAAACTGCAGTAAAATGTTTAACAAGGAAAATGAGACAAACAAAATTTATGTTCATGCCTTTTTCTAGACTGTCAGCAAAAAAATTTTTTGGAAACAAGATTTTAAAATTGATTTGTTGCTCTATTTTCTTCCTGCAACTTCAAATCTCTTTCTGGATTGCATGTAAAATTGAAGTGAAAATTTGGTAGACCTGTTGAAGGCCATCTATTTTCTATTACTATCTTACAGAAAAAACAAACAGAATAAGCAATGAAAATAGAAATGGGGAGATTTGGTATCATGCCTTTCAAAAAGCAATTAATATAAAATTACAAATTCTGGACAGAATAACAATTATCTGCATGGAAATAGAACAGGTGAACTGAGTTCTATTTCCAAACTAAGCTTTTTGTGTTCACTCAGCAAGGCATGAAACCATATTTCCCTCATTATGGAAAAAAGTCTCATTATTAGAATGTGATGATAGGAGAAAACAATTAAAAGAATGAATAAGTAGACCACTCTTTTATAAGTACCTTATTTTCCAGAGCAGCAACAGTAAAATGTTAGTATCTCCATTGTTAAATTAGAAAGTTACAGCACCCAGTATTCCCAAGTGGTCACCCATCTAAGTAATGACCAGGCTCAATGTTGCTTAACTTAAGTGATTGTACGAGAACTAATGTTTCAATGTGATATGAATGTAAGCCAACTTAGAAAGTGATACAATGTTTAAAGCTCAAAGTCTCTTGTTGTATTTGACATATGAGGGTCAAGCAGCTCAGTTCCAAGGAACCGACAGCCAGACACCAGCACATATGATTTGATTATAGTGATGAGGGCTTTGTGCAGAAACAACCACACTTTTTGAAGGGCCAAATAAAGAGACCTGGTGCACTACGTGCCACAAGGTCCCCAAACGACCCTCTGCAGGTTTTGAATTCAGTCTTCTAGACTAGTTGCAATCCAAGGTTATAGAACCTAGTCTATTCTGCTATTTACCCATAGCTGGAGGGAGAAGAAGAGGATTAATATCTTTCCCAAGGGTATTAGTATGTAAGTGAATGTAATGGATTCGAATGATATTCGAACTCAGCTCTCTTGTGTATATGTACCTGCTTGAATATCAGAAAACTAAATGTGTGTATATACAGTTTTTTTTGTCTTCCATTAGCATGGTTGATTCTAATCTCCAAGTGAATTTTATTTTCCACTTACACGAAATGGAAAGATTATATTAAATCAATTGCAAGGTCTGCTGTGAGAAAAGTTGGTTCACTCTGCCATGCTAGAGAATTTTTCTCACCAGAATCTATCTTATCTCTTTATAAGTCCTCTATGCATTAAATATTGCTACCACATCTAGTCTGGAAATCCTGTTATTTATTTAGAAATTCTTGATAAATCCAAAGAAGAATCTGCAATGTTATCAGTCCTGATCTGGCATCTCGGCTTCAATCCCTTTCCCACTGCTATAATGTAACTTTCCTGTGCCTTTTCTATAAATATTTTCTGAGTAATTGTTCCAATGAGCTTTCCTCTATGGTACCTAGACATTATGAATTTAAGTGCAGTACTAGATTAGTGGCAAGTTCTCATCATTTTACAGTTTAAATGGCTTGATGTAACAGTAAATTCTATGTTAACATTTTCTTCTCTCTAACAGTATTACATACACTGTGTTATAGATTGGAGACAAGGTCTCATCATTTTACAGTTTAAATGGCTAGATGTAACAGTAAGCTCTATGTTAACAGTTTCATTTCTCTCTTATGGAAGCCTCTTCCAGCTTCAAGCTTTCCAGCCAATTTTGATTTGCGAAAATTTAAATGCAATATCAATTGTTTTATACTGTCTTGATTACTGTTTTATTATTCTCGCTTCCTAATAATGTTTACCTTTTCTCTTATTCTTTCTCTCACAGTAACCCTTTGTGTCTTAGTGGCTTTACTGCCTTGCATGGGGTGAATGATTAAAAAAATACATAGAGATAGAGTTTTTTGCTAACAATACATTTTCCACTGGAAAATACCCCAGCTACAAAAACATCTGTCAGTGAGTAATTCCCATTTCTCTGTTTATTCCTTGGTCCATTGATAAAGGACACAGGCATGTCCGAAAATTCCAAACTTAAAACCTTTCTTTCTGTGCTTCATTTCTATCATATAGTTAATTTTTAATATTTAATACATGTTTATCATACTGATTATATATTTCATTTGTTCATGTTTTATTAACTAACGTATCTATTATATATATATATATATATATATAACTGAATGGGTAAATATAGGTAGGTATATGAGTGCAAATACATATAAATATGCTGTAGTTTAAGAAAAAAGTGGAGCTACAGCAGAGTAATTGTCTGCCTCCATATCAGTCATGTATTGAAAGATACATGATCGCCTAAGTGTGTATCACACATGGCACATAACTGACTGAGTGTAAGAAAAAAAAGTGCTCAGTACTAAGTAACAGAGCTATTTAATATATATATATTAAGAAATATGCATAATATCTTACATTAATTGCACAACTTCGAGTTTCATGCCAAAGCAATATATATATATATATATATATATATATATATATATATATATATATATATTTAGAAAAATAGTATAACAAATTGAAAAAATGTTTGGATAGTGAGGGACAAAGATGAAGGAGAGAAAAAGAATACAGATGAATTTGGCTAGATTAAAAAATATATTCTTTCAAAAAAAAATATTCTTTCAAAAATTTTAAAACTACCAGCATCTCTTGTTTCATGCATATGTGTAGATGTGGCAATGTCAACAAAGACCTGTCCAATGAAATCCTAAAGGATGAAACATGTCACAAAAACTTTTTTGCAATTTGTCATACTTTTTTTCTAAATACTGTTTGTTGATATATAAAATTATATATTGTTATATCATTCATATATATATATATATATATATATATATATATATATATATATATATATATATATAGCATTTAGATTGGCATATATCACTATAGATTGGCATATTTTTCTGACACATGCACAATCAAACTAAAGCAACATTTGTCGCAAATTTACCTTGAAGGAACCTTTGAAGATGGAGTTAATAGAGCAAACATTATATCCCAGAAACCTGTCATCAGAGTGATTTTAAACTCATTTATAAATTCATTGTTGTTTGCTTTTGTTTAGTTTCTTCATGGCTTTATTTGATCAAAACTATTTTTTTCTGCTCCAATCCACAAGAGTTTTATATTTAGTGTTGCTATGATTTCAGCCTTTTATTATTGAATTGCCTTCTGCTTTGCTTTCCCAACTGATACAACAATACTCTACAGAAAACTATAAACTATGGACAATTATACTCAATATAAAAGTAAAGATAATCTTGAAACTGAATTCAGTTACTTTTAAGTAAAGGTAAAATAAAACTTTCATTCAAGTTAAAATTTTTGTTTTACATTAATATAGTTGTATAAGTATCATATTACTAACAACACAAATCAATATTTATTTCAAGGTCAGCAGGATTTTTGTCAAGAAAGTGTTTAATAAATAATTAGAGCAACTGACAATAAGTTACCTAAGATTCAAATGACTTATCTTTTGACCAACTTGAAAGTTTTGTGGACACACCACTCATCAAGGTCAGAAAAACCTTGTCAGGGTCAGCTAAATCAGATTTCTTAAATTAATCTACTGACTAAATACCATATTATTCAGATTTCTTACATAAAACATTATCAGTCTTTATTTTTATTTAATCATGATACTGAAGGTGCAAGTGAAATTAAGATGAAAGAAATAGTAGTCAAAAATAAATACTAACAATCAGGTATGTTAATAAAAGCTGTGGATTAAGTAAAACAGATAATCTATATTATCTCATGCTGTGGTTAAGGCCACCATAGTTGTCTCCCCCTTAAACTATTTGACTATAAATAAATGGTTAAACCTCACTTCAGAGCAGTAGACAAATTGAATTGAATAAAGCTTCACTACACATGTAAACCTTTGTCTGTTTTTCTTTAAAGTTAGCTTCAAATTCTCAAATTTCACATTTAATTTTTTTTACTAAATACATTAATTTTCTAGTGTATTTTTCCAATTTGTGAATAAGATGTTGTGTATTGAGATTAAACTTGTGGATAAACTATCCTAAGTTCATATAAGTGGACATTGGAGTCAACACCAAGCAGTAACAGTCTATTTCATGCTTAAATGCAATCTTCATATGACCTGAATATTGCGTTTAAGCATGAAACAGACTGTCATCACTGGGTGTTGACACCAATGTCCACTTTTATATTTATGTACACTCTATCCCTGATATTCAGCACTTTAACCCATAAATATACTAACCTTAAAATTATATTTTTATCATATATAAATATCTCCAAACAAGTTAGATTAAAAAGAACCGCAACAAAGTTTGTATGTGGAATAAGGCGTTGTGCATTGGGATCAAAATTGTGGATAAACTGTCTGAAGTTCATGTTGTGTGTTGTTTTCTTCAAGTACTTTTGTCCATCTCAGTCATTTTCAAGAACCAATGTGTTGTCTGTGCAGCAGATAGAATATATATATATATATGTACATATATCTTTTCTACAAATATTTTCATAGCAACATGGCAACAGTTCTGTAGAGCTTTTTTTCCTGGTACCTCGACTATATAAATTTAAGCGTGCTACTAGATTAGCATCTAGGTCCCACCCTTTCACTGTTGAAATAGTTAAATGTAACTGCCACTTCTACTCTAACAGTTTTTTTTCTTGCACTTCCCACCTGTGGAACTCCCTTCCATTTACTTGCTTCCCTGATAACTACAATCTTCAAAAATTTAGATGCAATGTCAATTGCCATCTTCTGATTTCTTGAACTGCATTCATCTTTTATCCTTCCCTCATTTCTCCTATACACAGTTTTTTCTGTCACCTTGACTTTATGCAACCCCCTGTGAACTAGTGGCACTCCTGGCTTGCTTGGGGTGAAATACTTAATATATATATATATACACGTACCCTGACGATCCGCGTAGGTGAAACCTAGGTAGGTTTGCCTGGCTCTTTAGGTTTGTAGTTTTATATATATATATATTAAACTCTTAGAGTTTTGAATAAGAGTAACATTACATGACAGAAAGATGCTGACAAGTGCAATATCTGTTTCCTTTTCTAATTTGGATCCATCTCTAATATTATAAACATGAAGAAAAATGTAATAAATTAACAGGATCTAGTAAGAAAGAAAGAAAAGGGAAGGAAAAGAAAGAAATGATGCAAGAAAGAAAGAAAAAAGTGGAAAGAACTAAAGGAATGAAGGAAGGACGAAAGAAGACAAACAAGTGAGGAAGAAAGAAAGAAAACTAGAAAGACAGTAAAAAAGAAAGAAGGAAGAATGAAAGAAAAGAAGAAAAAAACATCTAAGTGAACATTAGGCTATATATAGTTCAAGGGATCCTTCCTGCTAACGAAAAGAAAATGGCTTTGAATCTAGAGCATTCAAGTCAATAGAAATGTCGATGGTGAAATTACATACAGTGATACAAAAATATATAATAATTGTCGCTCAATTGAAAAACAAACAAAGGCTGAAGCAACTTCTCCTGAAATCCTCTTTGTGGATTAACATTTATATTAATGCTGTCGTTTCCATACTGGATTTTCTGCCACTGAAGTGAAGAATAAAGGATAGTGAAGGTGTGATGCAGTGGGGTAAGGGATTTCAGTATTTAAATTAAGGCATCGTTTGTGACAGGATATGCAAATTATGTTGTTGTAATGGCAACAAATTAAATTCAGATTCATCGAAACCAAAGAAAAGGATTTAGTTGAGAGTGAAAAATTAGAAGGAAAAGGAAGGAAGGAGAAAGTGGGGCAGAAAAAGGAAAGAGAAGAAAAATGAAAGAGATGAGGAAAGGGGGAGGAAATATGGCAGAAAGAGCAAAAAAAGACAAATGAGAGAAAAAAAAAGGAAGAAAGACAGAGGAAGAGAGAAGTGAGAGAAAAGAAAAGAAAGAGAAAATAAAGTAGAGGGAAAAAGAAGAAAACTGAAAGAGAAAATGAAAGGAGAAAATAAGACAAATGAGAGAGAAAAAGAAAGGAGAAAAATTTGAGAGAAAGAAGGAGAAAATAAGGTGAAGAAAGAAAGAGAGAGAAAAAGAAGGAAGGAGAAAATAAGATAGATGGAAGAAAGAGAAAAGGAACAAAAGATTAAATAAGGTAGGAGGTGAAAGAAGAAAAATGAAAGAGAAAAAGAAGGAGAAATTAAAGCAGAATTGGAAAGAAGAAAATTAGGGAGAAAAATAAGGAAGAAGAAATTAAAGCAGAAGAAGAGAGAAGAAAAATTAGAGAGAAAAAGAAAGAAGAAAATGAGTCAGAAGGAAAGAGAAAAAATTAGAGAGGAATGTAAGGAGGAAATAAAACAGAAGGAGAGAGAAGAAAAATTAGATAAAGAAAGTAAGGAAGGAGAAAATGAGGTGAGAAAAGAAAAGAAAGTAGAAGGTGAAAAGAAAGATTAGAGAGAAAAGAGAAATGTGTCAGGTGAACAAAAAATAAAAAAATGAAAAGTGAGAGAAAAGATGATAAATGTATGAATGGGAAAAAGAAAGAGAAGAGAAAAGATGGTGGAATTAATAAATGGAAAAAGAGAAATAGAAGAATGAACAAACCATGACATTTATTTTTAAAATGGTATTATATCCATTTAAGACTTATATATATCATAATTTTAAGACTTATATATATCATAATTCCAAATGATTTAATGTTGGTAAATAAAGAAAAATATGTGGGAGTAGAGAGAAAGAAAATGAAAGATAACAGTATAGAAAAAACAGAAAAGGAAAAGGAAAGAGAGAAAAGAGGTAGAAACTAAAGAAAAGGTGGAAAAGGGGAGAAAGGAAAGAGAAGGTGGAAAAGGGAAGAAAGAGAAGATGGAATGTGGGAGAAAAGAAAGAAAGGGGGAGAAAGGAAAGATAAGACAGAAAAGGGGAGAAAGGTAAGAGACGGTGGAAAAGGGAGAAAGAGAAGAGGGACGTGGGGAAAAAGAAAAAAAGGTGGAAAAGGGGAAAAAAGAAAGAGAAGGTGGAGAAGGGGAGAAAGAGAAGATGGGACGTGGGAGAAAAGAGAGAGAAGGTGGAAAAGGGGAAAAAAGAAAGAGAAGGTGGAAAAGGGGAGAAAGAGAAGATGGGATGTGGGAGAAAAGAAAGAAAGGGGGAGAAAGGAAAGATAAGACAGAAAAGGGGAGAAAGGTAAGAGAAGGTGGAAAAGGAGAGAAAGGTAAGAGAAGACAGAAAAGGGGAGAAAGAGAAGATGGGATGTGGGAGAAAAGAAAGATAAGGTGGAAAAGGAGACAAAGGAAAAAAAAGGTGGAAAAGGGGAGAAAGGAAAGATAAGACAGAAAAGAGGAGAAAGGAAAGATAAGACAGAAAAGGGGAGAAAGGAACAAGAAGGTAGAAAAGGAGAGAAAGAGAAGAGGGACATGGGAGAAAAGGTAGAAAATGGGAGAAAGGAAAGAAAAAATAGAAAAGAGGAAAAAGGAAAGAGAAAGTGGAGATAAAGAAAAGAGAAATAGAAAAAAGGAGAAAAGAAAGAGAAAATGGAAAATTGGAGAAAGGAAAGAGTAGGTGGAATCAGGGAGAAAGAATGAAATGGTAGAAAGAATGAGAGAAGACAGGAAGATAGAAAAGGGGAGAAAGGAAAGAGAAGTTTGAAAGAGGGAGAAAGGAAAGACAAGGTGGAAACAGGGAGAAAGAAAATAGAAGACAGAAAAGGGGAGGAAGGAAACAAGGTGGTAATGTACAGAAAGAAAATAGTGGAAAAGAGGAGAAAGAAAGGGAAGGTAAAAAAGAGAAAGGAAAAAGAAGATGTAAAGAGACAGACAAGAAAGAGAAGGTGGAAACAGAGTATAAACAAAAAAGAGGAAGAAAAAAGAAAACAGGTGTAAAACAAAAGAAATAGAAAAAAGAAAAGATGGAAAAGAAAATAAATTATGAAAAAGAAGATTAAAATGAAAAGGAAAAAAGATGAATGGAAAAAAGAGGAAAAAGGAAAGAAGATGAAAAAGAAAAGATGAAAAGGAAAAGCAACAATGAAAAGGAAAAGAAGGTGAAAAGTAATGAAAAGGAAAAGAAGATGAAAAGAATGAAAAGGAAAAGATGAAAAGAAAAAATGAAGGAAATGAAAAGATTAAAAGGAAATGAAACAATGAAAAGGAAGATGAAAAGGAAAATATGATGAAAAAGAATGGATGAAAAGGAAAAAGATAAATGGAAAAAAATAAGATGGAAAAGAACAGAACATGAAAAAGAAAGATGAAAAGGAAAAGATTAAAAGATAAAATTCCAAGGTGCGCAATAAAAATCAGAATAAAAGAAGATAATAAAAAAGAGAGAAAGGTGAAAAGAAGGCAAAGAAAAGGGAGATAATTTGAGGAAAAAGATAAAAAAGATCTTCAAAAAAAGTTCCAAATAATAAGAAGGAAGGAGACTGACAAAATAAAGAAGGTGAGAAAATAAATGAAGAATTACAAAAAAAAAAGAAGGAAATTAAAATGGAAGATAGAAAAGGTGAGAGGGGAGGAAAAAGAGAAAATAAAGAACGAGCAAAGAAATGCGTCTAATTGAAATGTGTTTGCAATTAAAAGCAAATGAATCTGAGAGTTGTCACAAATGTAAGAATACGGCTTGTGTGCATTTGTGCCCAGTGTGTAGAGGTTAAGTACATCTGCTGCTGTGTGCAAACAGTAAAAATTGGGCTTGTTAGTTTGGCAGGAGGTTTGGGGAAACGGTAATAGTAATGGTATGTATGTAAGGATATGCAAGATTTGAATGACAGAAGCTGAAGATGCATTTTGAAAAATGGGAAAAAAAGGAAAACAAAAGGAGAAAATGAAAAGAAATGAAAGAAAAATGGCTAAAGTGAAGGAAAAGAAAAATGTTTTTTCTTTCTCTTTCTTAAAAAAGTAAAAAAAAATTAAAATCACACAAAAATAGACAATCAAAAATGAAAAAGTAACTGAAAGAAGAAAGTGAAGAAAAGACAAAATTTTTAAAAAGTGTATTTAAAACAAAAGAGAAGGAAAAAAAACAGGTGTATTTTAATATAAAAATTATAAATGAATGAGAAAATATTTAAAATTCTTTTGTTGCAAAATTTAAAGGAACATTTGTTTTTTTAGATTAAAAAAAAATAGCTTAATAAATCGAATTGACAAATTGCATGCAAAATATATAATGAGATAGATATATGCTTCATTATACAAAGAGAAAAATTTATTTTTGCAAATTTCAGAATAAATTAATGGGAAGAAAATAAGAGAAAAATAAACAAACAGTCAAAAACTTTCAACATCTGCTGATTTGTCTTTTCATTTTAAAGCTTGTTAAAAATAAGACAAAAAAATATTGACTAAAATTTAAACTAAATTTTAAAAAATGCAGGACATTTTCAAAGACAGAATTAGTCATTCAAGAAGAAAGAACCAGTACATGCAACTGGAGAAAAAGTATAGAAAATGTTCACTTGACCAATCTTATATATATATATATATATATATATATATATATATATATATATATATATATATATATATTATTACCAATCCTTTTATGCAAGTTTCATAAAAGACAACTGACATGCTACTGTGATTAAGCTTTTTATTTAAGTTTTCTTTCATTTTTAGAAGTGGTTTCTTTTCTGGACATCTGTCTAAATGCTCTATATATCCAAATGAAGAGGCCCAATATTATTTATGAATTTACATGCCCCTTAAGGAATTGTGTTTCTGATCAAACCAAATTCTTGAATAATTATATTAGGCATATCAAGAAGACTCACATTACATCTCTCAGATGATAGCTCAATTAGGACCCATTTAAACACACACAGAAATCTACCAAACTCCACCCAAAATACACGTGTAGAAAATACAACTATAATAGCCTCATCCACATATAAAAAGGCTAAAAATAATGGAAGCATTAATAATAAAAAAGAAAAAGCCCACACTAATATCAACTATGAACATGGACACTGTGTGCTGTGTTTGTACAAAAAAAATAAAAAAACATTTCCATCCCTATGGATCTGCAAAAATTTAAAAACATTCATATAAAAATCCACATCCTTAATAGTAGCAATTAAAATAGCCTAATGTACTCAGATATACAAAACATTTGTACAGTTTTTATACACTTTATATCTAGAAAAGAAAATACTTGTATGAATGCAAGAAAAATTTAATAAAATAGCAGTATCTTTTTCAAGTCATTTTTAATGAAACTTATATATATATATATATATATATATATATATATATATATATATATATATATATATATATACACACACACAAATATAGATAACTATACTCGTTTTGAAAAAAACTTGAATTTTTGATTTGCCAATAATCAAATCAATCTCGAGGGAAAAAAAGGTTGTAAAAAAAGAAAGAGCTAGAAACATGAAAGTCTGTCGAAAAAAAATCGCACAGATACAGGTTTGAAGCCCAAAGAAAAAACCCGACACGAGTAAACAACTAACTAACAAAAGAGCTCAATACAACCGTAGAGCAGACCTAGATAAAGCTTTCCCTGACGATCCATTTAGGTGAAACCTACGTAGGTTTGTCTGGCTCACTAGGTTTATATATATATATATATATATATATATATATATATATATGTGTAAAAAGTTTCATTTAAGACAATAAAAAATATTTTTAAGGTATGGAATATATATATATAGGAAAAATATGCTCAATATCAGGGACAGACTACATATAAATATAAAATGGCAACAGTCTGTTTCATGCTTAAGCACCAACATGGCCTGAGAATTGCATTTAAACATGAAAGAGACTGTCACCATCCCATGTTTGTACCTATCTCCACATTACTCATATGTAGGCAGGTATATCAAGCTAATGAAAGAAATTCAAGAGAGAATAATAATAATAAAATAATATTGTATATTGTTATATTAAGTGCATGGTAGAGGAACAAAGATCGACAGAGGTTTAAGAAATAATAATGTATTAATATAAAAATGCAACAAATAGTAAATTGGTGTAAATATCTCTTGAAAGAGATAAGTAGAATTGTAAAAGTCATCTGCAGAGGCATACAGTAGGAGAAGGAGGGTGAGTTGTGACTTACTTTGGCAAATTGTCTTTGAAGATAGAAGGTTGCGTTCTGATGAGCATTGTGAATCCTGGCTGTTGTGCCATCCAACTGCCCAAGATGACCCTTTGATGGCCTTTTATGTACTTTTCTTAGGCTCAGATCAGCTCCAATTTTTATTTTGTTTCTTTAAACAGGAGTGGGTGCTATTGGGTGGAAATTCTGGATTGTAATTTTTTTTTAAGTGTGTGAGTAAAAACAGAAGTTGTGTGCAGAACCAATGCGCAGTTGACAGAATTTTTACTTCAGTCTTGGGTTTTGGAGCATTCACATCTGGCCAGTGGTGAAAATTTGTGTAACATGAATCAGAAGACGATCTGGTTTTAGGAAGATTATAACAATATTTTTAGCCCATTCAACTAAATAGAAGTATGATGTGAAACAATGTCAAAAATCAGAATTTCCTGACACATTTATGTCTTTTCTCTACAAAAGATAAAATGAAATTAGACTTTTTTCAAGAAAAAAATTTGTTTTGCATATTTGTTATTTTACTGATTAAATCTATTTGTCTATATCTCTTTGATGTATTATGATTATTTGCATTATTTACATTAGTCGGACTCAACTTTATTGCCAAATTCACAGTGTTTCAGCTGTTGTACACTCTGGCCTTCATCAGGTGACTAGAATTTCAAACCGAACCCTTTATTTCGTCCACTGGGGTAGATTGTTCTAGTTCCACGTGACATACCTCTTCCAGATGCCTCAGTTTTCCCCCTTTAACTCAACTCTCCAAGTTTCGGTTCCCCACTGCTGTGGCCTGGTATTGAACTCACAACTCTTTGGTTCGATTCACTAGATCTAAGCAACATCTTTATCCACTGAGGACACATGGCCAAATACATCTTCGGATTTCAGTGTCACACTTTCTGTCCTCTGTTAGAACACTTCTCAGATATTTAAATCTCTGTACCTGCTTGATTTTAGTATTTCTGACCTGTAATTTGCATTTTGGGCTCATCCCATTGCTGATAACTATGCATTCTGTCTTTTTCCAGTTTATGCTTAGTCTTTTCTTCTTGCTTTCCTTCACTACCTTCTCTAGGAGGTCTTGTCTGCCATCAGCACTGTGTCATCTTATTGTCACCTTATATTGTTAAGATTGTGGCCACCAATAATGAATCCTGGTAGGACTTCTAATTCTTTCAGATGGTGCTCAGTGTTAACAATAGAGTTATTCTGTATGTACACACACACACACATATATATGACCTTGTTAAACAGAAAGCTGATCATTTTAAAAAATTTTCAGTTATCTGTTTTGGATAAGACTTGTTTTTTATGTCCATCGTCTTTGTCAAATTGAACTGAATTGTATTTTAATGAATATTGTCTTGAAAAGGTTTATTAAACCCGAAAACGTCAGACGTCGACATTTCATTCATTTTAAATAACATAATTGCATTTAAGGATTTTTGTTTGTTTTTTCCAAATTTCTTCATTCTGTTGGATTTATATCCATTTACATTTGCTTACATATATATATATATATATATATATATATATATATATATATATATATGTGTGTGTGTGTGTATGTATATGTCATTCGCAGACAGTACTATTTCACTGTATCACAGCTCCTCAGAGCAACTAGACATCCAAATGCTTCAAGACATGACAGAAACCCAATTGATTTGGTGTCAGTCAGAGTTTCTACCACTGAGCTATCATCCCTCAGCAGAGAAAACAGCTAATTCTTTTTGTGTATATATATATATATATATATATATATATATATAACAATAGCCATATATATGTTGAAAGGCAACAACAGCCAAAGAGAAGATACAGCATCTTAAAATCAAAATACAAAAATATAAGGAAATTGCTCAAAATGCAATGTACACACCAGAATGCATAACAATTGAATGCCATCTCAACTACCTCACTAGTATGCTAGAACTCAACCGACAACACACCATCACTAAAAAAAAAGAATATGTATGTATACAATGGAAAGATTTTACTACCTAACAGCAAATGTAAATTCTTGAACCTGTCTGTCCAATCATGAACTCACTGACAACCAAACAGAATTTTTAAATATCAGCCCAAATTGCCGCCTCCAATCTAGATATGATCCCATCCAAAAGAAGACAATTTTTACAATCCCTTACCCCCACGAAATGGAAAAAATTAAGAATATTACTAAAAACTCAATAAAAATTCAACAAATTTTCCTTGTTTGTCATATTCAATGAAACATGTTTGCAAGAAAGGTTGCTGCCCAAATACACACACACATATATATATATATATATATATATATATATATATATATATATATATATATATATATATGAATACAGAATCATTAAAATCCATCAGGTTGGGTGGTAATAAATTTATTTCATGGACCTCATGCCCATCTCTTCAGACCAGTTTTTATTAATAAATGGAGTTCAGAGAAAAAAGGAAAAAAAGAGAGAAAAGAGAAAAAGGAAAAGTTTTAATGTTAAAAGGGAGAAAGTTTGCTCTTTTCTTACATTGAGCTCTCTGTGGATTTATATCCTCCTCAGAATTATCCCTACTAATCATCAACTGATATTATATATATATATATATATATATATATTCTGTGTATTAGGTAGCATATGTTCTTTAAAGCAAATCTTATTAATGACAACAGACATTTTGTGTAAATTAATTTTACTGATTGACTTTTCAAAATTATGAATAATCCTTCTCTGACAACAAAAAAATTTTACCAGAAATTTTCTGAATTTCATTTTGGAAGAAAAGTACAAAAAATATGGTCTAAGATTTTGACTTCCTTAAGTCATCATCAGTGTAGGTAGAGATAAATGGTGAGTTTAATAAAACTAGTGAGTGTTGTGATGTAACAGACTACAATCTGTATTGCTTAAAAGGGTAATTGAATATTGCAGAGTTGTGAAGCTCTATTCCCAAGCAGTCTAAAGCATGCTAGATCAGGCAGTGGTTTTACCTACAATGGGGAACACAGATTCAAGCCCTGCCAGAGCTACATTTTCTTTAAAGATTCTTGAATGCATAGGCTTGTACATGTTACTCCCAATGTTTAAAAAATTAAGAGTGCCAACTAAAAAAAATGTATCTACTAAAATATAACAAACTAAGTTGACTGTGCAGACTTATCTCAATAAGAATATACCAGGAAGATGGATTGGGCATGCCAGTGATAATAACAATGTGCTGTTGAAATGGCTGCCATGTTAACCTGACTTGACACCTTGTGATGTTTTGTATGGAGCTATGTGAAAAGACATGTCTATATTCCTCCTCTTCTACACACCTAGAGGAACTTAAGCAGAGAATCACTGAAGCGCTGGAGAATGTTATGCAAGACATGCTACAGCATGTTTGTCAGGAGCTGGACTACCGGTTTGATGTGTGTTGTGTCACAGGTGGTGTACAGATTGAAACTTTGTGAAATCAGTTATAAAATTTACATCCCTTTGAATATCTTAAATATCAAATTTTGCTAAATAAATCTTTTATTAGTCAATATGAAGCCTACTTAGTTTTGTCTGCCTGGGACACATAGTTACTCAGATATTCACATTTTAAATGATGTCAATGTTTCTGTGTGTGTATATATATATACAGTGACATGCATAAGTATTGGATACATATTATTTTCTGTTATAACTCTAGTTTATATTCGCCATTTTGCCTGATATTTGGAAAGTAATATCTTGTAAAGTTGTTTTAGTTGTATGTGGAAGGAAAATTAAAAAGTCATGGTTGAATCCATTTTTTTTATCAAAGTTCAAGCAGTGAAACAAAACAGAGGCTATGCAACAAAATATTAAATTGATGTATCCAATACTTTTGCATAGGGTAATTTTGAACTTTGATAAAAAAAAATGGATTCAACCATGAGTTTTTAATTTTCCTTCCACATACAACTAAAACAACTTTTACGAGATATTAACCAAATATCAGGCAAAATGGCGAACATAAACTAGAGTTATAACAGAAAATAACATGTATCCAATACTTATGCATGTCACTATATATATATATATATATAAATATATATATATATATATATATATATATTTAATTCTTCCAATAAAGTATATCTATTCACTGGTTGTCACATCTGTCCACTTTTCTCTTGAGAAGGAATAAGGAGACTTTGAACTCAGCCAGATGTCATATTTACAAAAGTAAAAACCTAGAAGAGCTGGACACTGTGAATAAATAAGTTTTTGTAGACACATGGTGCCTGATGGATGGTGGATAAAGAAAGCAAATGTCTGGAAAATAATGTAATTGAGAAATGGGTCTGATCTGAGCGGGCAGAGAAAATCCCTTCAGAAGAAAAGGCAAGAATTAAGTAATAAAACACAAACAAAAACTGCTCTTGTCAAATATGGAAAAGCAGAGAAATGGAACCAAGATATGTCCAGCCTATTTGCACAATATATTAAACAGATGCCTAGTGATAAATATTAGAGATATAATATTGTATACAAGGGGGAGCTGAAAAATCTTCAACTCATCTAAGAAGCATCCCAGCCCCACAAATTCTGAGCCAAGAGTATTTCAGCAACTCATTATACATGACTATCTTTGTGTTTGTGTGTGTGTATATATATATATATACTTTATACATGACTGTATTTGTGTGTATATACATATATATATATACATACTTTATACCTAACTGTATTTTGTGTATGTATATATATATATATATATATATATATATATATATATTTATACATGACTGTATTTGTGTATATATATATATATATATTTTTATACATGATATGTATATATATATATATATATATATATATATATATATATATATATTTATACATGACTGTATTTGTGTGTGTGCATATATATATATATATATAATTAAGAAATCAGCTGATTCTACTATCTTGGTTTCAATTGACTGAAATTGCCTGAAGATTCCGAAATGTTCAAACCAAGGTAGCGGAATCAGCTGATTTCCTAATTTTCTATACTTAAAAGCTGTACATGTTAAATTTTTATCTTTTTATATGTGTATTGAGTACTTTTTAATACTACTGTTCCCTGGTCTAATTCAACTCTGACCATTAATTTATATATTAAGAAAGAAATTCAGATTACTAACACAGAAAATGTCTCATATCGAGAATATTTAGCATTGAAAAACAAAAGAAAAAATGAATTATTTTTAATAATATGTGGAAATCTCCACTTTTACCTGAAGACGGTCACGAGACCAGAAACATGTGTAGTACAATTATGTAAAACAAAGCATAATATTTTTTTCTAAATAAATCCACATTACAACCAAAAACGTTTGCGGCATCTCTCTTCTCTTCTTTTTAATATACATACTTTTCTCTCATTGGAACCACTACAACCTCTTTCTTTTATATATATGTATATACATGAAAACAAATGGTGTGTCCATATCATTTAATTTAAAAGAGGGTTGAATACAGAGTAGAGCTAAATATTATTTATTTTAGGATATTAAAACAAAAACATGCTAAAAATCAGTACACAATTACAATTATGTTTCAACACTGCAAATGTGTCTCCTTGGATGATATAAAACTATTGGTGAGTGAACATTTATTTTTCTTATTTTTGTAATTGTTTAGCTATTTTTAATATGTTTTTGTTTTAATATCCTAAAATAAATTACCTACTATGCATTGATCCCACCTTTAAATTAAATGTTATGTACAGTGGAATCATACACCATTTGTTCTCATTTTACCTGGATATATATATATATATATATATATATTTGCCTTCTTTTAAATTAAATATTATGAACAGTGTTCACATTTTACCTGGATATATATATATATAGAGAGAGAGAGAGAGAGAGAGCCCTCTTTTAAATTAAATGTTACATACAGTGGAATCATAATTCATTTGTTCTCATTTTACCTGGTTGTATTTATATATATATATATATATATATATATATATATATAAATGGTATGAAAAAGGTATGAAAAAGTACAAAAATTTACTTGTGATGTGTTTCGTCCTTCAGGACTAAATTTGTTATGTTGGTATGATTACACATGCACACAAACGAGGGATGCTGGGAATTTTAGAATTTTTTTTTAAAGGAAAAACTTGTATAGATATTTTAATACTAAATTTATTCAAACATCACAAGATTAATACAAGTTACCTTTGTCGACTAACAGCCATGAGGGTTATGTCATCTGTCAAGAAAATATAGTACTATTGTAAACAGTGTTATTGCAATTTGATAAAACTATGAAAGACAAGTTTTTCCTTTCCTGAAGTGTGTATACATTTTTGGGGTGGACTCTGTATAAAGACATATATACTAATGTAGTATAGTTAAGGGAAGCTGGAAGAAAAGACTAAACAACACTTTTAATAAGACAGAATGTATGGCTGACAGTAAAAGGAACAGTCCAAGATGCAAATTACAAATTGAAGCTAAAATCAAGTACAAAAATTTAAATATTTCCAAAGTGTTTAAGAGAGGATGGAAAATGTGACACTGAAATCCAAAGGTGATTGGAATAGCAAAAGATGCCTTTCAAAAGTTAAGCAAAGTATTAAGAAACAGTAAAATTCCATTAAAAATACAAAACAAAAAAAAAAGAGTACTGAACTGTTATGTAATATTGATCCTCCTATAAGGCAGTGAATGCTGGACAATTTCACCACAGATAAAGAAGAGACTTGAGGCAGCAGAAACCTGGTTCTTCAGATGAATGCTGAACTGTACATGCAAGTAACATAGTAACAAGGAATTTTTAGAGAAAATAGAAACAGAAAGGACAATGAATTTAATTTCTAGGGTACATGATAATGAAAGAGGGTTTGGGGAATTTGACACTCACAAGGCATATTGAAGTCAAGAGTGACAGAAGAAAGTAGCACATAACCTCTGCTTAATGAGCTTGTGGAAATGGTTGGCAGAACTGAGATGAGGAGATATAGAAAAAAAAACTTTACTAAGAACAACAAAGGACAGAAAGTTGTGGAGAGCCATGATTGCTCACATCATGAAGAGACATAAAAGAAGAAGTGTGTCTCACTCCAGATTATACTGGAATATACTGTATGACACCAAAAAAGCATCAACAGGTTGCCCTGATAGATGACTTTGTGGCTGCCACTATCAATATCCCAGAATGCAACTGCATTTTCAACCTTATATACAGAGTTATAGGTCACCTGGTAATATCCCAGAAGGCATCTGCATTTTCTTCCATATACCTAGTTATAGGCTACTTAGCAATATCCCAGATTGCATCTGCATTTTCATTGACATCCCAAGTTATTGACCACCTAGCAATATCCCAAAATGCATCTGCATTTTCATCCATATACCTAGTTATGGGCTACCTAGCAACGATGATCAACAAACTCTATACACAATTCTAAATGCATCATTAAAGACAATAAAGTAACACAAATACACAATAAAAGCAAAAAAAAAAAATTTATGATATTCAAACAACAACAGCAACAAAAAAAAATAATTTATAAAACAAACATGAAAAACAACTCACATAATTTCCACTGTTTGTGGTCTTGGAATTTTTATTGAAGCTATTTTGGAAGACTTGAAAATTTTAATCAATATTTGAGATTTAACTAGCTGTCAAATTTCTATAATTTTAAAAATACTGACGCAAAAATCAATGAAAAAATTTCAATTTTTCACCAAGGTCAGGCTGACTTAGCTTAGGTAAATTGCAGATGGTTTCTCAAGAAATCAGTACAACTTGATTTTTGTAAGTGAGACATGGGCCTTTGAGAAAGTGTAGTATGAGGTCCATAGTATTTTGTGGCAATGAAATATCTGAAGAATTCCTGGTGTCTGTAAGGAGAGAGGATGCAGTCCTAAAGAAAAAAAGAATTTCAATTCATTTTTTAAAGGAAAGGTATTTTGTTTCCTCACTGCTGATTGGTTGATTGCTTGGTCATTCTGTTAATTGATTGGTTGTAAAAAGATAGGTGTGTGTGTGTGTGTGTTGGAAAAGGAGAACAAAATTAGAATTTTTTTTTCTTTGTCCCACAGACAACAATTTTTCAAGTAGAAAATGATTGAAAAAAAAAATTTCTGGAACAAGAAATCTAGTTCTTTGACTCTGAATGAGACAGTGAAGAAGGCTGACCACAGAGAAGGACTTATGAACAAACAGAAAGATGCACAAATATATTTGTCTTCTCCATCATCTTCTATATACCATATTCCTTCAGGATGTGGGAGATCATGACTCTCCACAGTTTCCTGTCCTTTGTTGTTAATTTTTGTCTTTTCACTATCTTTCCTAATCCTTGTTCTATCAACCATTTCCACAAATTCAATAGGGAGATGTGCTGCTTTCTGCTTATCCCTCTTTCTTTCAATCTGTCCTGTGAGCATCAAATTTTCTAAGCCTTTTTTCCTCATTTTGTCATTGGTCAATTTTTCAGACCATAGTATTCCCTGCATACTTCTGTAAAAAAAGTATTTTTTTTAATCGGAATCACTCCAAGCAGGGCATTAAAGTCACTACAACACAAGGGGTTACAGGGTGAGAAAGAATTATGAACAGAAACATGAATGATGAGCAGAAATAGAAGATAGTAATCAGGTGGACAATAGATAGCAATTGACATTGCATTCAAATTTTCACAGATTAAAGTTGGCTAGAAAGCATGGAATCAGAAGGGAATTCCTCAAGTGAGATGTATGAGAGAAGAAACTGTTAGCATAGAATTTACAGCTACATCTAGCCAGCTCAATTTTAAATTGATGAGATCTTGATGCCTGTCTAGTGCTGCACTTAAATTCAAAAACTATAGGTACCATAGTGGAGAGCTCATTTGAACAATTACCATGAAAGTATTTATAGAAAAGACCTAGAGAGACAACCTTAGGGTGGTGGGAATGTGATTGAAGCTGAGTTACCAGATCAGGACCAATAATATTGCAGATTCTTCTTTAGATTTTATCAAGGAGCTCAAGGTAAATAACAGGGGCACTGGACCATATGTGGCAGCAATATTCTAAGCATGGGTGAATGGTAGACTTATAGATATGTAAGATAGATTTTAGAGAGAAAAATTGTCTTGCCTTACATGGCGAACCAACTTTCTTAGCGGCTGACCTAGCAATGAATTCAATATAGTCTTTCCACTTCATTCTAGCTGAGAATGTTAGCCAGAGAAAGTGCAACAAGTCACTTTCCTGGTGGATAACATCAGTATTCTTTTGTTTGTT